GAAAAATGGAGAGGTAAATCCTGAATACTTTCTTCTTAATGTGAATCGAATCGAAATTTGGCGAGCACAAAGAAATTCGACGAATAATGGTGAACAGTAGAATGGTTCGATCGTAGAACAAAGGTTTGAGGAACGATCTTTTATTGGCACACTTTTCGGGTAAAATGCATTTTCCTGTTTCGAAGATTAACGCAGGAACGTAGATATAGTTCGACGAGGTGATAATGATTACTAGCATCTCGTTGAACATAATGATTGTGATAGTTGTATAAGCATAAAAAAGAGGATCTATCATATTATTCGAAATAGTTGAATATATATGCGTTTATATAGTAGATATATATTTTTCATTCAGGTATATACAGGGTCGATGGCTTTGTGCTCAAAAATCCTGGTCAAAAAGTATTTACCTTAAAGTCGAAGGTAGAGGGATCATATTTCTTGTATTTACTCCACCAGTAGTTTCCTTGTTAAAGATCGGGGCAACTATTTGGGAACAATGGCATAATAGTGCTCATAATACATACTTTTACGCAAAGATAAGATCAATAAAGAAAACAAAATACATTTTGAAAGGTAAAAGAAGAAAAATGATCAATTAAATGAGTTTAGTATAATGATATTTTACGCTTCGAAATGAATTTGTTCAGGTATGTGAACTTTGTATTTACGTTGACGGGGAACAAAGAAAAAAAAAAACAAGAAAGGAAAAGAAATGAAAAGGAAAATTCTGTCTTGGTGAACGAAGTATTGTTAAATTTTCCGGGATACTGAACGTGATACGCAATTCGAGGAAAGTCGATCCATCGGCTCTCGATACGATCCACGATACGAAGATGCCTATATAAAGTGGGTTAGAGGGTGAACGGGATCGGATGGTAGACGTATAAATTCGCTGTAGGGAAGGGGAGTCGAGTCCGCTCCAAGGAAGACTATGTATGTCTCGCAATATTAGAAAAGACGCATCGTAACGAGGCTTCTTGCGATGAATGTCGATGAATGAGGGAGAAGGAGAAAGAGAGAGAAAGAGAGAGAAAGAGGTCGATTGAAATCTGGGTCGAAGCTCGCGATACGACAACCGAAGCCTTTTTCAGGATAAAGGACTTCCTTCGAGATAGAACGAACTAAAGAATTCTCGCCAACTTTCAAATACTTCAATATGAAAATTTTAAGAGAAATGAAAGAAAGAGAATATAAATAATATGATTCTTCTTTTTCAAAATCGACGATATCGATATGCAAAACAGAGTGAGAACAATAACTCTAAACTACGATGACGCAACAAAGAAGGAAACGGTAAAATAGAAGTATCCCAATATCTAATATTTTTCGTCTTTATCGATATTACGAACCAAGCTTTTCTCGATGTGACATTACTTTACGATAGCTCGAATCTGTCGCATACTGGATTCATTGATAAATGCACTTTGGGATACAGAAAAAGAGATGGAGGAAAGAACGGAGCTGATGCAAATAACGGGCTACATTTGGAAAAAAATATAATGCCTGCGATAAATGTAAAATATGGCCTCGGATCGCTCGGCGACATTCTCGAAAGCGTTGAAAACGAAGTTGGAGGACACGCGCTCTGTCCCCTCGGATACGGATGTGGGCTTGTACGCGTGCGTACCACCGTGACGTTGTCGTCGCCCGTTGTTGCTGTCGTCGTGTACATCGTGTGCGTTAGAAAGAGTAAAAGAAAGATAGAGAACGTTGACGGAAAGAGGGATAGAAAAAGAGAAAGAGAAAGAGAAAGAATGAGAGAGAGAGAGAGAGAGAGAGAGAGAGAGAGAGAGAGGAAAAAGGCGGAGGAGGCACGTATCTTTAAGGCAAAATACAAGGCACGACATACACGGCGATGACTTTGCGGAAAGGCTCGAGGAGCCTTTATTATCGTCATATTCGAAGTTACTCGAACGTGTCTTTTGCCAAACTCTCAGAGAGACTGACTTGGAATACGAAAGCAATAAAAAAGGAAATAAGACACGATGCTATCCTATAAGAATAAAAAAAAAAGAAAGCGGAGATAAGTGAGGGAGTTGAAAACAAATCGTTTGAAAGAAAAGAGAGATAGAAAGGAAAAGAAAGAGAAAAAGAGAAAAAGAAAGAGAGAGAGAGAGAGTGAGAGAGAGAGAGAGAGAGAGAGAGAGAGAGAAAGAAAAGGAACAACATTTGACCATGGCGCATAATAATTCAAGAATTTCCGAAATGGCATTCCGAGAGCAAGTAGGGGAGCACCCTGTATGCATAACGACGTCGACCCACTGTGTACCATTATCGACGGTACAGCGGAGAGCCGGACTCGCTGCGATCACTATGCTACTAACACCGAGAAAATTCTATTTCGTATTTTGACAAAAGTCAAGTTTCTTATCGACCGATATACTTCTTAACTTTTCTCCAATTTCGTTTTCTTTATAAAAGTTGACTATCAAACTTAATATTTAAATTATCTCGGAAATGGTGACTTCTTTGAAGACTTTTTAAATACGAATAAAAG